GAATGGCATTTTAACTCTTCTGTGATTTTTTTGGCTGGTCACACATTCACTCTAGGTAGGTTGTAAAATCTGAAAACAACTTGTGGTCCATTGTTTCCATGGTAACAGCCCAAAAACTGATTTTTTAAATACCTTTGCGCCAAATGTATCTTACCCTACAATTCTAGGATTAAATAGCACAGACATATCTCATTCTACTCAGCTTGAGTGTGGGCAAAGATTTACTGTTTTATTTTTTTATGTATATTTTCATTAACGAGAAAATTGTACTCAAAGTTGGCGTAACTTTTCACCAGCAACGGCTTTAAAATCGTCTGTGATTTTTTTTGGCTCAGCTGATTTTGTTCATACTTGACAGGTAGATCGTACCGTCACTAATTGGAAAAAAATCCTGGCCCACCACTGCCATTGCTACATCCAAAAACTGATTTTTTGAATACTTTCGCCCCAAATTCATTACCTCCTACGAGTTTTGTAATAGCAGTGTTCAAATCATGCTTTTTATTTTGGCTACATTACACACTGTTAAGAGATCACCGGCGCTGACATTGTTACACAGTATCAATGTAATTCCAATGCAACTTTGAATGAACTGTAAATGCTGCCTTCATTCTAGAAAACACTATCGCAAAACGGTTGGAAATAATAAAGGTAACAGCAGAATACGTCATAGTAATAAACTAAGTGACTTCTAAAGACAGAATGTTTTTTGCGAACTTCGTATACAGGGCCCATTTAGTTATAAACCGACGTTAGCTTCCTGTTCATGTCCTACCATGGAAACACCCAAAAACATGTTGCTTGTTTTTCAGCAGAGCGGATCGCCAACCAGCCTACCTCGTGGATTAAGCTGATAACGGTCACTGTACTATTAAAGGTAGGTGGTCGTCGCGCCGCGTTCTGTTCGATATGGGACTCGTACACAACGCGTGTAAAATACATTGTTTGTTCACATGAAATTCAAACACATGCTGCGGGACGACCACCTTTACACTGATTTGACGTAGTATTTACCATGCCATTTATTTGGTGTTATTTGCTTGCTTTACTTTCTATGTTAACAGCTACTATGAGTTTACAATTATTCTCAGTACTTATGTACTATTAAACTAGCTGACAAGTCTGTGTATTGGATTTATTAGACCTAGCTATGATGAAATTGTTTGCGTATCTGTTGACTGACTTATTTAGTTGATTACTAGTGAATGGCTGTGTTATGTCTGTCATCGTTTAGGCCCATGCGAGGTCCTGGACGGAACTTGGCTCAGTGATTTGGAACTAATTACGATATAACCGTCGCTATTCGGACTACTATTTCTGACAGTTGGGTATTCGCAGTTAGTAATATAGTGAACAATTAATCAAAAGATATGTGTCCAGTAGTTAGTGTGATTGGCTGTATGATTGAAGGTTACGCCCTAGAGTCTTTATACTTCTTTGTAATTGGTTAAGGTTTTGAAAGTGAATAAAGTTGTTTGAGTTAGTCTTGGGGCAGCCTTGGGCAGTCTTAAGAGAGTCTAAGGCAGTTCTAAGGGCAGTCTAGAGAGAGTCTTGGGTCAGCCTTGCGATAGTCTTGGGGACTTTTCCCCAGGGCGCTGTGTCTTATAGAGTACTCGACTGACCGACTTAAGACCGAGAGTTAAAACGTATTTCGTTGTGTGCGTCTATTTGACTGCAGGCTTAAGTGACTTTCCCGATCCCGTACCTCAAGGGGACGCAATAGAAAGACAAGACGAGATTCCCCCCTGACACGTGTGGAGAACCCAGAGAAGAAGAATTTTCCCTGTGATATAGCTGACAATCTGCCATCAAATGTTTCTCATTTGTATATTGAGCTGGCCCTGTAACAATGGCAATGCATATATAGGAGAAAACTGCTAGTATGATTTGTTCTACAATGTATCATAAAAGCAAATAAAGACATTAATTTTGTCTGATTGTGTTAACTGCTTTTATTACAATTAATGAATTTCTACTATTATACTGTCATGGGAAAAATATCGTCTTGTCTCTATACACGTCTGCTTGAGGTACCGGACCGGGAAAGTCACTTAAGCTTTACAGTAAAATAGACGCACACAACGAAATACGTTTCAATAGCTAGTCTTTAGCCACATCGAGAACGCCTCAAGGCAAACTGCCTGGTCAGAGACTCTGCCCAGGATTGACCAAGACTCTCTCACCTCATGGAG